AGGCGATTGCTCCGAGGTCAGGAGTTCAAAACCACCTGAGCAAGAGCGAGACCCGTCTCTACTATAAATAGAAAGAAATTAATTGGCCGACTATATATAATATTATATAAAATTAGCGGGCATGGTGGGACATGCTGTAGTCCCAGCTACTTGGGAGGCTGAGGCAGGAGGATTGCTTGAGCCCAGGAGTTTGAGGTTGCTGTGAGCTAGGCTGATGCCACGGCACTCACTCTAGCCTGGACAACAAAGCGAGACTCTGTCCCCCAAAAAAAAAAAAAAAAGAATTAATGCCATAAAGCTTTGCAATCCATCACATTTTTTAAGTTAAAACTTGACTGGAGAAATCACCTATAGGGTCAGAGGAAACTTTGAAAAAGATAATAGTAGATAAACTGCCTGATGGTAGCAGTAATAATTTAGTGGCCAAGAATTTCTAAAACTGTCCCATCAGTGGCTTTCTACATAAGTTCTATCAAAAGAGGTAAATATATTATCTCATAATACTTTGCATTTATATGGTAACTATTTGAGTCTTAAACATACTGCTTTAATATTTTATGTGAACTGATTTATTCATAAGTTTACCTGTTTTTCTGTAGATAATAAGTGAGCATATTATCAGTAAAAGTATGCCAATTTTCAGTTCAGCGGTAGCATTAACATTAATTAGCATAATTTGTGACCCAAAACACGTTTATCTTATTTTTACACTACAAAAGTGACACATGCTCCTTTCAATACATCCAAAATATATAGAAGAGAGCAAATATACTAAATGTGGTCTTTCTCTCCACATGCACTGTGTGCCATGCAGCAGGTAACCTCTATCATGATCTCTGTAACTCCCTCTGTCCTATGGCTATGGCTTTCCTCCTCTGCGCTGTCTCTCTTTATATACTGACACATAATTTTTCAAAGGAAATGTCTACGATCCATGTTATTTTAAGCTTGCTTGTTTACTTAATATATTGTGAGCATTTTCTATATCAGTTCACTTAAATCAGTCTTATCTTTTGGATGATTGCATCATTTTCATTGTATGATGAATCATATTTACTTATCAATTACCTTATTGGTGCAAACTTAGGTGTTTCAACTCTTTGCTATACAAACAACGCTGTAGTGTGATTAGACATCTATTGCTTGGAACACATTTCCAAAATCTAGAATGTTTAAAAATCAGACATTTATTTCTTCTATATAAGTGGTGACTTAGCTGGGTGCTTCTGGCTCAAGGTCTCTCGTGAGGTTGATGTCAAGCTGTCAGGTCAGGCTGCAGTCTCAGCTGAAGGCTCGACTTTGGGAATTCACTTCCATGCTCACTGATATGTGGCAAGGCTCAGTTCCTTGCACGTGGGCCTCTCTGTAGGCTGCCTGAGTGCCTGACAACATGGGAGCTGGTGATGAGAGAGAAAAAGAGAGAGCATGTGTGAGCACACTCCAAGATGGAAGCCATGATCTTTTTATATGCTAATCTCAGAATTTCCATCTCACCACTTCTTCATTTTCTTTTTGCTACAAGTGAATCTGTTAGTCCAGCCACACTTGCGGGGTGGGGGTGGATTATATAAAAACATGAATCCAGGAGGTGGGGATCATCAGGGCACATTTCAGGCTGCCTGACACAGATAGAGTCCTAAGAAAGGAATATTGGGTGGGTCAAAGGCTTACACAAATTTTAAATTTGCATAGATACTGACTCTCAAATTGCCATCTCAGAAGTTTTGCCAGTTTACATTCCACCAAAAGTGGAGGAGAATCCTTTGAAGTAGAGAATATAATCAATTTTAAATAATTTTGCCAGCCTGATGAAGTTGCCAACTGAATATTTAGGTGTTCTTTATTGTTGTGTTTTATTATAATGAGTTTGAATATTTTCATAATAGCAATTTTATTTTCTTTCCTTTTGCTTTGCATTTATGCTGTCAATTTTTTGTATCAAGTTATTTGGAATCTTGTATAACACCTCTCCTTAACTGGAAAAGTTCAATGAATTTGGTAGGTGTTCCTGACATTTTGACATCAAGAAATACTGCTAAGTAATGTCTCATCAGGTTGACACCAAGATTACATAAATTCAAAGGATTTCATTTTATCTAGCAACACTTCATTTCAAAAGAATGCAGAACTTATTGCCCTAATAAGAAGACAACTAACTAAAAGTGAGCAAAGGATTTTATAGACATTTCTTCAAAGAAGATGTACCATGGATAAGCACTTGAAAAGCACTTGAAAAGATGCCGGATATCATGGCTGTAAGGAAAATGCAAATCAGCACCTTAATTTGTGAATTATGTTGTATGTGATTACATCTCAGTAAAGCTTTTTTAAAAAAGGAAGTATCTTCTCTTTTTTATTAATTTCTTTGTATTTATAGTAGAGACGGGGTCTCGCTCTTGCTCAGGCTGGTTTTGAACTCCTGACCTCGAGCAATCCACCCGCCTCGGCCTCCCAAAGAGCTAGGATTACAGGTGTGAGTCACCGCGCCTGGCCATAACTTGGACTTTATATGGCATGGTGGCTGAGTTCTAACAGTGAATGTTGCAGGGGACAGGAAGCACAGGCTGCCAGTCTCTTAAGGCCTAGGCCCAGAGACTGCCACAGTGTCACTTTGCTTATTGGTCAGAGCAGTCATAAGACCACCCAGATTCAAAGGGAGCAAACCTAGACGTAGACCCCACCTCTCAATAAAGGAATGTCAAATAATTTGTGACTAGATTTAATCGACCACTATGGTTATATTTTTGTATTAAAATTTAACAAATAACCTCTGGAACTAATTTTATTGTTTGTTTTCTTATAATATTAAGCAGATTTGACAAATTCTGTGTACAGCGAGATGGTTGTTGGCCCGGAAGAGTTTGACTTCTTTCAAATTGGAGTGGACACTGAAATAACATTTTGCTTCAAGGAATTGAAAGTAAACAAATATGTGCATTAAATTAAAATTCAGATTTTCACTTGTTTTTAATAAAGATTTCAAGGGTTTTTTTCTTCTTTTCTTCTTTCAGGGAATGCTGACATTTTCAGAAGCTACACATGCTCCTATATCTATTCATTTTGATTTTCCTGGGAAGTAGGTCCTTGGGAACTTTTCTGAGTTTGCTTCTTTTCTTTTGTTATATATGAATAATAAAGCCCTTTGTGTCATTTTGAAATTGACTAACACCTCAGGAATTCCTTAACTTCCCTAGCAACACTTATCAAACTAAAATTTTGAAAGATGCCGTTAACATTGGCTTTTTAAATTTGTAACTTGATAGAGATATATTCTTCTTCAGAGTGAAACATTTATAAATTTCACATGATGCTGAATAATTGCTTAATTAGAAAAGATACATGGCTTAAGTTAAATCTCTATGAAACTATGATACTGATATTTCAGAACTAAAATTTTAAATGAGATTAGGTTAAGATATGTTGTATAAAATCAGATCTGATGATTTCTAAGGATCCTTTCAGCTTTCAGGATTGCATTAATTTGTGAAAACCAAAAAGAATGTCTACTACTGTTTCTTTTTTTTTTTTTTTTCTATGGGGATTCAAAAATTGAAAGAAATGAAATTAGACCGGCAATGGTGGCCATGCCTGTGTCCCAGCTACTTGGGAGGCTGAGCAGCAGGATTGCTTAGCCAGAGTTGAGGTTGCTGTGAGCTAGGTTGACTCACGGCACTCACTCTAGCCTGGCAACAAAGCGAGACTCTGTCCAAAAAAAAAAAAAAAAAAAATTATATAGTATATATATATATATAATAATTATGAAGAAATGATCAGAATCCAAAATCAGGGACATTGTACTAAGTGTCAAAGAGAAAAAGACAAAGCAGATTAGAAATGTCAGACAAGGAGACTCTGTAACCTAAAAATATTATCTTTTTTTTTAAGAGACAGAGTCTTGCTCTGTTGCCCAGGTAGAGTGCAGTGGCAACAATCACGGCTCAACTGCACCCAACTCCTGGCTCATGATCCTCCTGCTTCATCCTCCCAAATATCTGGGGACTACAGCATGTGTCACCATGCCCAGCTTGATTATAACTTTGAGGAAACTGGGTAAAGGGTATTGAGAATGGTTTGACTATTTTGTAAGTGAGCTGAATTTATATTTTAATTTATTAAATTTCATGTGCATAGCGTATGTGTAAGCATAGAAAAAGTCTTAAAAGGTAGAGTAATAATCAAAATAATTTGAAGTGATATCTTTGATCCTTTATTTGTATTTCTGATTTTTTTTAAGAAATGTAGTTGTACTGTTATAGCAAAATGCTTCAATCAGTTTGCATACGTCTTCCAGGGTATAATAGACATGTGATGATGTACTACATAGAAAGAGACAACTTATCTCTATTTAAACATGACAACATTTTTCAAACACATACATAAGGTGGATCTACTACAGAGCATGAAAGACGAAACAGAAGTATTGGGTGGCCCATATTAGCCATGGCAAGAGAAATTGTTTGATAGAGGCGCGCCCTATATAATGGTCTTATAGGCTAGGATTAGGTTGCTGGCTATTCAAGGCACAAGCAGCTCCTCTAGCTGTGACGCATGACCAAGACCTCCATGCGTAAACAAGTCCAAGATAGAGATGAGCGGCTGTTGAGTCATTTTCGAGTGAAACACTGACCTTTTGACCAAACAAAGAAAGACTAGGATGGTGTGTGGGTCCACAGACGGTGAGAACGACATGTAGGTCTCGAGTTTTCATAGCAAAACAGGGTGATGCTAAAGGTTAATATGGGTGGTGTGGGAGAAAAGGACACGAACAATGTGAGAGGGATGTTAAGTTATGACACGCCAAGAGGGAGGAGCCTGAAAGGCGCGATTCCAGGAGTGGAGGAGCTTAATTTAATATGGAGAGGGCAGGGTCAAAGAGCTCATACCATGCAGTAGTACACGAACCGGGGAGAGGATAGTTAGATAACACCAATGAGGCTAGGAACCTCGAAACTCTTTCTTCATACCAAGGACATGTCCCCCAGCTAAGCGATGCTTATGAGGGTTGCTGGACCACACAGCATGAGAGATGTGAATGTTCTTACCCGGTCATCACTATTAGGCGGATCAAATTAAGGCTCTCCTTCACTTGACTTGGCAATATCTAATTCTAGCGATGATAGTTCACCCGCGATGTGACTAATTCAAAACAGAGCAAAGATAAAGTAACTTGTCCAAATCACAAAGTAGTAAGCGTGGCATAGAGGGAGTTTGACACCCAGGAGGCTCACACAGACATGGTCAACCAATTGCTCGTGGTAAGTGGCCTAAGTAGTTCAAGTGGTATACAAAGCGCCATAAGAGATTCGGACATAAAATCTATTACCGATCCCCACACGTCAAAAACACTAGCGTTGGTGGTAGAATCGTAGGCCCGGAGAGTCAGGCGGCCAAGCCCATAGCACAGGATACTCAAGGTGAACTTCGCCAGGGTTTACATCATATTACCATAAGTGTAAGTTTCACTTCTGCAGAATTTGCATCACATCTCGACAGGCAATATCTCCCTTAAAAATAGACCCCTTGCTTTAGAATTTCAGCAGTCAGTCCAGAGCAATTGAGTAAGGTACTGGTAATCGGTGCTCATCGGACATATGCACTCAATGTTCCACTTATCCCCAGTGGAAAAACGGTCATTTGAGGAAGGTCAGGGAGCTGAGTCAGCAGGAAATGATTTCTTTTGTTGCCCATGTGGAGAAGTAGACAATACGTCCAAAAAAACGGAGACGGAATGCTTTTGTATAATGAGAACACAGATTCAGTTTTCATCTTGGCCACTACGTAAATGACAAAGAAATTCCTGAGAGGTTTGGCAGTGACAACAGGTACTCAAATAAACACACTTATGGTGGTCCAAGAATGATCAAATTGCGAGCTTTACCCGGAATCCAATCTGCCCCAAAGTCATATATAGCCGCGATGCAAGATGTGCAGAAGTGTCATAAAAACCTATATTAATTTCTCCTTCAAATTTTTAATCTAAGAAACTCCCGTATTGTCCAAATCCCTAATACATAGCAACGGAGAAATAGTCTGAACTAAACATTCAAACATGTAAATTGGGACATTAGCAGGTTTTGGAATAAGTCTGTTGGAAGCTTCTAATCAAATGTATTTATACATTAAGCTCAAATAGATTATTCATAAAGGTCTAACAGCATGTAGCTGTGAAGGTTTGAGCTTAGTTATCTTAATCTAGCAAGAAGCGGATCATCACCAAATGTAGTAGTTAAGACGGAGGGTAGAGGAAAGCCAAATTATGAAGAATCTTGAGTACAGTTTTTTGGATGTGCATTTACATTATAATACTATTACGCTAAAGCATGATTCTCCAATCAAAATTTGAACAAAATAAAATTAAAGAGAAACTTATTTCAGGAAACATTATTTAGGTAGTCCGGTATAGTAATATTACCTGTATAGCTTCCGCAGGAGAGTACCTCACAATAAATGAACTCTTGCTTGTAACAAGGATAAGTCACTAATCTCTACGATGTGAATACGCTGTTTGTGGTACAACTGACTCGAGCAATTTCAACTTGGTTCCTGTCTGCTATTCTATAAATATTCTGCCTCTAGACGTACTCATAATCTCTATCAAAAGAATAAGAAAATTAGGCCGGAAGCGAGATGGGCTCACGCCTGCTATTAGCTCGTGTGGGACCGAGGCGTGAGCGGATTGCTCAAGGTCGAGTCTCAAAAACCCAGCTGAGCAAGAGCGAAGACCCGCCGTCTTACTATAAACTTAACGAAGAAATTAATGCCAAACTGATATATATAACTGACAAAAAATTAGCCGGGCATGTGGCGCATGCTGTATCCAGCTACCGGGAGCTGAGCAGAGGATCATCAAGCCAGGAGTTTGAGTTGCTGTGAGCTAGGACGCCACGCACTCATCTAGCTGGCAACAAAGCGAACTCTGTCTTCAAAAAAAAAAAAAAGAAAATTGATTTTTCAGGATGTTAGAGTGGCCCTAGGGCAGGAATGCTAACGGAGCAGATGATGAGAATTCTTGACTGAGTGTGGTTGTGTCTCACACTTAGTTTTTACCTCCCTGAGATATGAAACCCTGGCACTAGGTCCTATCAGTGTCAACGTAGACACTGTAATTAACCGAGACTACTTGACCAACACTGTGTTCTACTAGAGATGTTACACAAGAGAAAATCTTCTTCCATTATAGGCATGCACAGTTCAACGTAGGTTTGTTTGGAAGTCTCTCAGGATAAGCCTATTTGGTTGCCGCTTTTCTCGAGATAGATGGTTAAACATAAACACCCATTGGGGATGGACTCTGGAGTGTTCCCTGAGAGGCCAGGTCCTGGCCCCTCGCACGTGGCTCCAGAGTCAGTTCAAGCCCGTTGGCCGCTAACTTACACATGCGGTCCACCATACTCGACCTGAATAGGTAATGAACTCGGATTTGGACCAATGAGGAAATGAACAGCTAGCTTTGAAAATATGATTACACTATTCATGATAGATTTGGAGCTAATACGTAAAAATAGCATGGTGAATGACAATTGGAAACGAAGCACGACAAGTTTTCGATAAGGAATGATATTGAAAATTATGGAACTAATTATTGAAAGTTAACATTTTATATATATGATAATTTAGAAATTCTTTTGACAGAGTTGAATCTTTCAGTAAAGCACCAAATATGACTAGGAGATCTTGTGATAGGATAATAGGACCAAGTTTAAAAAAAAGTTAAATAAATTATAAATGACAAAATTTTATGCAGTCATTAAAAATCATGTTTTTCTGTCATAATTGGTGATATTAGACCAAGCCTACAATATATTTATGGGGAAAAAAGGATGTTATGATCCAATCTTGTTTAAATATAAGTATATGCGGCTGGCACGGTGGCTCATGCCTGTAATCCTAGCATCTGGAGCTGAGGGAGCGGATTGCTTGAGGTTAGGAGTTTGAAACCAGCCTGAGCGAGACCCTGTCCTACTAAAAATAGAAAGAAATAATTGACCAACCAAAAAAATACAATCAAAAAATTAGCCGGGCACGGTGGTGCATGCCTATAGTCCCAGTACCTGGGAGGCTGAGCAGTAGGATCTT